GGGAGGTGTCGGTGTCGGCGTCGGCCTCTGCGTCCCCCAGCTCCTGGCGGGCGCCCCGGCCGGCGCTCCTCTGGCCCCCCATCACCCCACTCTGCACACACACCCCTCTGGCCCAGCCCACAGGGTTTCCTGGAGCTGCAGGGCTGGGATCGGCCGGGCGGCCACGGGGCCGGGGGCCGGAGGACCGGCCCTGACCCCTGGCTGGGGCGGCAGCTGGGAGCGGCCCTCCCCCGGACGCGGGCCGGCGGCCTGTGCCCTCGGCTGGGAGCAGCCCTCCCCCGGACGCGGGCCGGCAGTCTGTCCCCGGGGCCAGGCTGTTCCCTCCCGAGGGGTAATTATAGCCCAGCCGCCCTGGCCAGCCCCCCCTGCGGCCGGCGGGACGAGGCGGGGACCGGCCTGCGGGCGCAGCTCTCCCAGGCCGAGCCGAGCGCCGGGCTGGGCAGGGCAGCCCGGACACGGGGCGCCCACACCCGCCTCTCCGGGTCTGAGTCCCGGCCAGGACCGCGCTGGACCTGCCCGGGGCCAGACCCACAGCAGCCGGTGAGACCCAGCTCCGAGCGGCACCCCCCACGGCAGGGACCCGGAGCACAGCTCCAGGAGGGCCGGTACGGAGCGGGCGACGGTGGCACGGAGGCTGGCAGAGGGCACACTTCGGCCTGGGGGCGGGGCTGGAGGGGGGGGCCAAGGCCCGGGGAGGGGCAGGGTGCAGGGGCAGCCTCCCCAGACTGGGCCTTCAGGGTCCCTGGGGCCTCCCAACCCTGGCGCCCCCGCCTTCCCAGGGGGCAGCCTGACCCGGGACCACCTCCCGCCCGAGGCGGCCTGGCCGCTGGGGCGAGGGGGCACCAGGGTCCCCTCGGGAGCCGGAGCAGCCTCTCCCGCTCTGGCCGAGCCCAGCCTGTGCCTTCGGAGCCGCTGGGAAGGGGTGGGGCCAGGGCGCGGGCCGGAGGGGCGTGGGGCGTGGGAAAGGCCTGCACTCTCAGGGGACGGCTGGTCTGGCTCGGAGAGCGGCCAGCTCCCACCCCCACCCCCACCCCGAAGGCTCAGGGCCGCGGAGGGCCGGTCCACGCAGGCGCCGCCAGCGGACCCGCGGGCGACTGGGGCCTGGAAACCCAAGCACGGGCTGCGGCCCGAGCCTGCTGAGCTGCAGGCGGGAGCCCCGTCCGGCCAGCGTGCGGGGCCGCCCTCAGCCCAGGGCCCACTGCGAACCTGGCCCCTCTGTGCGGCCCCCGGGGGTCAGCGTGTCATTCCGCCCGCGTGCTCTGCAGGCCGGCCCTGTGTCTGCAGGATGGGCCCCGCGACCAACCTGCCGGGCCCTCCCTGCCCCTTCGGCCACACAGCACCCCTCAGCCTGTCACCCCTGTCCCAACTGCACCCAGAGCCGTGTGGCACCCAGCTCAGCACCAACAGAGCCTCGGACGCCAGGCGCACTCCGGCTGTGGGTCTGGCCGGGGCAGTATGGGCGAGCGGTCAGCGCCAGCTCCGGGTCCCCTCTGCACGTCCAGAGCTGTGAGTGTCTGCCCCAGCCTCCCCGCTCCCTCCCTCCGCTCCCCATGGAGGCCACGGGGTGTCCACACCCTCCTTCCCACTGGGCGGAAGGACAGCTGGACCCTCCCCCGGCCGGGCTGCCCGGGCACATGCCTGACCCCGAGGCCGCCGGGCCCACAGGAGGCCTCCGGGCCGGCCTGGCCTGGGCGGCCCGCGGGCCCCTGGGCTGTAACGGAATCTCCCCGCTGGCCGGCCAGCCGGCGGCTCTGGTGTCCCCTCCGCTCCGGGCTCTGGTCCCATGGCCGCCGGCAGGTGGGCCAGCACGGCGGCGGCGGCACCTGCAGGAGCCCAGGTGGGCAGAGGGCGGCGGGCGAGGGGTGCGGTGGGTGTGCGTGTGCGTGTCGGAATGTGTCTGGTGCGTGTGCGTGTGAAGGGGGTGTCTGTGTGTATGTGTATATGCATGTGTGTGGGTATGTGTGTCTGGTGTGCGTGCGAATGTAGGGGAGTGTGCACGTGGGGGGTGAACAGGGGTGATTGTGTACACGGGGGTGTGGGTGTGTGTACATGGGGGTGTGGGGGTGTGTACGTGGAGAAGTGAATGTGTGTACAGGGGGTGAGTGTGTGTGGGAACATGGGGTGTGTGCACGTGGGGGTGTAGGGGTGGGGGTGTGTCCATGGGGAGGTGAATGTGTGTACAGGGGGTGAGTGTGCATGTGGGGTGAGTGTGTGTGTGAACATGGGGTGTGTGCACGTGGGGGTGTGGGTGTGTGTGTGTGTACATGGGGAGGTGAATGTGTGTACAGGGGGTGAGTGTGTGTGGGAACATGGGGTGAGTGTGTACACGGGGAGGTGAGTGTGTGTACGTGGGGAGGTGAATGTGTGTACACAGGGTGAGTGTGTACACTGGGAGGTGAGTGTGTGTGCAGGGGGTGAGTGTGTACACGGGGAGGTGAATGTGTGTACAGGGGGTAAGTGTGTGTGTGAACATGGGGTGTGTGCACGTGGGGGTGTGGGGGTGTGTACATGGGGAGGTGAATGTGTGTACAGGGGGTGAGTGTGTGTGGGAACATGGGGTGAGTGTGTACACGGGGAGGTGAGTGTGTGTACGTGGGGAGGTGAATGTGTGTATAGGGGGTGAGTGTGTACACGGGGAGGTGAGTGTGTGTACAGGGGGTGAGTGTGCATGTGGGGTGAGTGTGTGTGGGAACATGGGGTGTGTGCACGTGGGGGTGAATGTGTGTGGTGGGTGAGTGGGGTCCCACAGCTCCAGCCTCTCCCTGTTGAGGTCCCTGCCTGCCTCCCCCTTCACAGGCCCAGGGCCCTGGAGTAGGTGTCGCTGGTGACAGGACAGCGGGGGGGGGGGGGGGGATGCGGGGGGGACTGGCCAGGCTGGGGCCCGGTGAGCGGGTGAGACCAGGGGACCGTGGGCGGGAACAGGCAGTGGTGGGTGATGGGCAGCGGTCAGACGGAGCATGGGCCAGGGGCACAAAGATGACCGCCTGCGAGAGGAAGCCCAGTGGGTGGCGTCGCTGAGAAGGGCTGGGTGGAGGCAGGACAGGTGGTGGCCGGGCTCGGCCTTGCCCAAGGGGCTGCACCAGGTGGGACCCCACTCCCTGCGCCACCCCCGAGGCTGGTGGGTGCGTGGCCGGCGCAGAGCTGGGCTGGAGAGCTGTGGGCTGCCCCGTGTCTCCTGAGGCTTCAGCCCTGGGGGCGGGGGGAGGCCGGGGGGGACACCAGGCCAAACCCCACAGCTGCTGGGTGTGAACGCTGGGCTTGGCCGGCCCCTGCTCCTGGGAGGGTCAGAGCCGGCTCCCTGTGCACCTGGCAGTGAGGGGTGCTGTGGGCGTGGCCTCCGGCCGGCGGGTGCCCAGATGACACTCCGCAGGCCTGCCTGGAGCTATTTTCCACCCGTTATCACCCATCGGTCACGAGCTGGCCCCGAGCAGAGGGCACTCCTGTTACACGGCCCTGCCAGGCCCGGCGAGCGGCGGGGAGGGCAGTGCGAGAGCACCAGCGGGGAGAGTGAGGCCCAGGGCAGGCGCGCCATTAACTGACCTCCCTGTGCGACTCACACCCGTGCACACTCACAGTGCACAAACACGCACGTGTTCACACCTGTGCACACTCACACCTGTGCACTCACATGTGCTCACACCTGTGCACACTCACACCTGCGGATTCACACATGTGCTCACACCTGTGCACACTCACACCTGTGAACTCACATGTGCTCACACCTGTGCACACTCACACCTGTGAACTCACATGTGCTCACACCTGTGCACACTCACAGTGCACAAACACGCATGCGCTCACACCGTGCACACTCACACGTGCTGGCCACTATCCCCGGGATGAACCCGGGGCCCAGGAGGCCTCTGGAAGGTCCCCGGGGAACCCAGCCTCGGCTGCTGTGTAAACCCCGGGCCCCCCCCTGCGAGAGCAGTCCTGCCTCCCCGTGGCTCCCCACCTCCTCCCCGGCCGGCGGCTCCTGCCACCACCCTGTTTGCAAAAAGCACCTGAGGCTGATTCAGGAGAAATTGTTTCCTTTGAAGTAATGGGTCCGTCCGGGGCCGCACAGAGGTCACTCTGGGCCACTGCAGCCCGGGAGGCGGCCGCTGAGGGCGGAGGTCACTGCTCCCGCTGCCTCCTCGGGAGGATCGCCCGAGTCACGCCTCCCCAGCCCCGCTCCTCCCTGCGGCTCCCCACGCACCCCCCGAGGCAGCCCGTTCCCTGGGGCAGCCCAGCTGCCTCTGGCCTTGACTTACCCGCCTGTGAAATGGGTGTGTGGCCATCAGCCGCCAGGCACCCAAAGACTGACGGTCCGCACTGGCTCCCACCCCGAGCAGGACGGGCGAGGTCCACGTGTCAGGACCCTTCAGAGGCTGTGGGAGGAGACGACGAGGGCCAGAGGGAGGGAGCGGGTGCACAGGAGCGGGAGCGGGGAGGACAGGGAGAGCCAGAGCCTCCGCACCCCCCCCCCCCACGTTCACGTCCTGGGCCTCCCCGAGAGGAGGCAGCAGAGATGTCTGTGACCTCGCCACACTGTGACGAAAATAAATGCGAACTTCCTGAGAACCAGTGATGGAGTGGCTGTGAGTGGATAGCAGCCCAGGAGTAGCCACAGTCCTGGAGTAGTCCCAGAACTGGAATAGCACAGCCCTGGAGTAGCACCCAGCCCTGGAGCACAGCCCTGGAATAGCACCCAGCACTGGAGTAGCACCCAGCCCTGGAGTAGCACCCAGACTGGAGTATCACAGCCCTGGAGTAGCACACAGCCCTGGAGAAGCACAGCCCTGGAGTAGCACACAGCCCTGGAGAAGCACAGCCCTGGAGTAGCACACAGCCCTGGAGAAGCACAGCCCTGGAGTAGCGGCAGCCACTGCAGCAGACAATCCACACCTGTCAGGGAAGCTTGGTAGCTTTCTAGGTGTCCTCTCCCTTTTGTCTAACTCCCCACGTGCTGCCTGTGCGGTGAGCGGTGCCTCTGCTTCTCCCAGGACCATGCCCAGTAGATGAGGGCCGCAGCGCGAGCCCTGAGCCCCGACGCCCAGCCGGAGACGCGCCCTCCGACCAGGAAGCATGCGGCGGCCGCTCCGGGCTGCTCGGCGCCCCGGGCGGGGAAGGTGAGGCGGTCCTGGAGGGGCCAGGGCCTGGGGGCGGGGCACGTGTGAGGGTGGGCCCGGGCAGTGACACTGGGAGGCTAGGGCTGGCAGAGCGGGTGGCAGGCCCAGCGAGACCGAGGTGCCCGGTGTCCACCCTGGGCCACGGGCAGGGCTGCGCGTGCGAGGCAGGGGTGGGGGCGGGCAGAGGAAGCGGGGGAAGGAGAGGCGGGTGCAGGGAGAGGAAGCAGGAGCGGGCAGGGCTCAGGGTCAGGCTGCTCCTCCGGAAGCTCCCCCTGCAGGGGACAGACAGACGCGGGGACAGACGCGGGACGGAGGACCGGAGGGGCCGTCAGCAGGCGGCGGGCCAGGTCCCGGCCGGGTCAGCGTCAGGACAGGGAGCAGGGAGAGACCGGGGGCCGTCCTGGTCCAGCCGCCCGGTCACCGCGGCTGGCAGGCCGTCGGCACCGAAGTCCCGGACGAGGGTGGCACGTGAGCCGGCCAATCCCGGGGCCAGGTGGCCCTGAGCCCGGGCGGGACGGCCGCCCGGGAGGCCAGCAGCGGGCGCCCTGCGGCCGAGGCCCCGCTCACCGGTGTTCACACCCCACACAGCCTGTGTCCCATTTCACAGACGGGAACACGGAGGCTCAGGGCGGGCTGGTCTCGGCCACGCCACCTTCCAAACCACACTGCGGGTGGGCGGGGCAGGCCCGCGGCCCGGGGTCCAGGCTCTGCCCGTCCTGGCCAGAGGCCTGTGCTCACCCCCCTCACCGGGTCCAGCAGCTGAGACACAGGCCCAGCACGTGGCCCTCAGGGCACTGAGCCGGGACGGGGGGCTTGGGCCAGCCTTCTCCCTGGCACCCGGCTGAGCCCCCACCCCTGGGCAGAGGGCTCCAGGACCAGCAGATGGGGGTGGGGTTGGGGGTGGGGACATGGGCCCCTATCTGCCCCATGGTGGGTCTGCGGGAACAGCCTCGGGGGGTTGGCGGGGGACCCCATCACCACCCGCTTCCCTCTGCTCCCCGCCTCTCCAGGAGGGCGACAGGAAGTGCCCCCCCTCCATCCTGAGACAAAGCTCGCCGCCGGAGGGCCGAGGCCACAGGGCGGGGCCCCCGAGGGCCGCCAGGCATGTGCGCTTCCAGGAGCCCCTGGAGGTGGCCGTCCGCTGTAAGGGCCAGGGGCGAGGGCGCGGGGGAGGGTGTGGGCGAGTGGCCGGGTCCTGGGGGGCCTCTGCCAGGGCCTCACTGTTGGGCTGGTCCCTCTGCGGCTCCAGTCTGCTCCAGGCTGCCTGCGGGGTCACCGTGCCCCAACGCCACAGGCTCTGAGGGCAGCGCCCGGCGCCCTGGGGCCCCGCATTCCGGCCTGAACTGGACAGACGCGTGGAGCCGGCAGACTGGCCGGTGGATGGGATGGGACCTGGGCCTCTGGGTAGGGAGTGAGGGGGAAGCCCTGGGGGCGCGCAGGCTCCGTGCCCCAGCCCTTCCTCGGCTCTCCCCCCCAGACATCGCCAGCCGGGAGCACGTGCCCCCCGCCAAGGGTGAGTTCTGAGTCCTCCCCGGGTCCCCAGCACCCCACACAGTGCCCAGGCCACCCGGGACCCCCCCGAGGCCGGCAGGGACGGGGCCTCCACAGCCACAGGACCCACCTCGATGGGCAGCCAGGGCGCAGCCTCTGTGCCGGCCCGGGGGAGGATGGAGGCCGGACCCGGGGGGGGGGGGGACGGGAGGGGGGAGTGGAAGTCGCTCACCCGACCCCCCTCCCCCAGCGCCCCGCCGGCCCCGGCCCCGGCCCCGCGGCCGCTCCCTGCTGCTGCGGCTGGGCCTGTGTGCGCTGCTGGTGCTGCTGCTGGGCCTGTGCTGCGGCCGGACCAAGCCCCTGGCGCTGGCGCTGCAGGACCTGAGGGCCCGGCTGCTGGCCCTCGGCCTGCGCCTGCGGCAGGCGCTGCTCACCGGCTGGCACTGCCTGCTGCAGCTCTGACCCGCCGCCAGCGTCCGGAGCGGCCAGCCGTGAACCGGGACTGAGGGGGCGGCGGGGGCCCAGGGCTTGAGTCAGCACGGCCCGTCCGGGTCACGCCCGGGGCCCCCTGGCAGGTCTTGAGGAGAAGGACCCACTGCTAAGATGGGGCGCACACACCCGGCCCGGGCCAGCACGTAGGGCCTCAGGGCGGGGCCTGACGCCTCAGGAGAGCCGGGTCCGCGGTGGGGGTGGGGCAGCCCCTCAGGCCCCCCTGAAGCCTGGGCCCGGCCGGGGCTCCCCCATGCCCGAGCAGCGTGTCCTCAGCTCCCGCCCGGCCATCCCCGTGGGGGGGCGGGGGGACACCACAGGCCAGGACCCCACCGCCTCCAGACCGTCCCACACCGGCGCGGGGCGCGTGGTCCCGGGACGTGTGGACGCAGACCGAGGGGAGCCATCGGTGACGAGCCCCAGGCCCTCAGACCCGCCCTGAGGGGGCGGCCTAGCAGAGCCGGGCGGCCCGCGGTCACACCCGGAGGGACAGGCAGAGCCGCCGGCGGGCTGCAGGGGACGTCAGGGTGCTGTGCCCGCTGCCCTGGGGTCGCCCTGGGAGTGCCCGGCCCCGCCTCCCACGTGGGGACCCTGACGGACGGTTAGAACGCACCGTGGCCTTCCCCGGCTCCCCGCGGGGTCACGGGGCCCCTCGGCCCAGAACCCCGTCAGGGCTGAGGCCGAGGCAGGACCGGGAGGCCCAGCAGAGGGGCCTGGGCCCAGCGGGGACCCTCAGCATCACGGGCCCTGACCGCACACCCGCCCAGCCCCCAGGAGGCCCCCTCGTCCCACTGCACCCCGAAGAGGACGGACAGATGGGGAAACTGAGGCTGCGGCAAGCCCCGGCTCAGCCGTGCAGCCTGCCTGCCCGGGGCCACGCTGCCGGGAGGGGACGGGGGGGTCCTCTCCGCCAGGGCTGTCACCCTGGAGGCCATAGGCGGCTGCTGGCTCTGCAGGACGGGCGGCGACCGGCCGTTAGGACAAAACCGCCCGCGGAGGCCACGGTCAGCCCGAGGCACGGACACGCCACCCGCTCACCCCGAGCCACCGGGAGCTCCACCCTCACGTGACGAGGCGGTCTCCCCTCATGTGACAAGGCAGTCTCCCCTCGCGTGTCTCCCCTCGCGTGTCTCCCCTCATGTGACAAGGCAGTCTCCCCTCACGTGTCTCCCCTCGCGTGTCTCCCCTCACGTGACAAGGCGGTCTCCCCTCATGTGACAAGGCAGTCTCCCCTCACGTGTCTCCCCTCACGTGACAAGGCGGTCTCCCCTCACGTGACAAGGCAGTCTCCCCTCACGTGTCTCCCCTCGCGTGTCTCCCCTCACGTGACAAGGCGGTCTCCCCTCATGTGACAAGGCAGTCTCCCCTCACGTGTCTCCCCTCACGTGACAAGGCGGTCTCCCCTCGTGTGACGAGGCGGTCTCCCCTCACGTGTCTCCCCTCGCGTGACGAGGCGGTCTCCCCTCACGTGACAAGGCAGTCTCCCCTCACGTGTCTCCCCTCGCGTGTCTCCCCTCACGTGACAAGGCAGTCTCCCCTCATGTGTCTCCCCTCGCGTGACGAGGTGGTCTCCCCTCACGTGTCTCCCCTCACGTGTCTCCCCTCGCGTGACGAGGCGGTCTCCCCTCACGTGTCTCCCCTCACGTGTCTCCCCTCGCGTGACGAGGCGGTCTCCCCTCACGTGATGAGGCAGTCTCCCCTCACGTGTCTCCCCTCGCATGTCTCCCCTCACGTGTCTCCCCTCGCGTGACGAGGCGGTCTTCCCTCACGTGATGAGCGAGTGGATGACACACTGACGTGGGGGCCGACCCCCCCACATGGGAGGGCCGAGATCGGTTTTATTGTGGCTGAGAAATAAATGATTTGAGGTGAAGGACCTGTCCTCTGAGCTCAGCCGGAAGTGGAATTGATCACGGTGTCTGCGTCGAACAGCAGGGAGAAGCGATGGGGCCCCACGTCAGACCCCGGGACCCACCTGCCCTCCCATCCGCCCGGGGATCCCTGCCCGAGGCGCGGGCACCACTCCGCCCGGCCCCTGCCAGGAGGTGCTGGCGCAGCCGGCCGGAGACGGGGCCTGCAGGGCGGACACAGGGCTGTGTGGCTGATGGAGGGGCCGCCCAGACCAGCTCCAGGACCACAGGGCACCCTGAGCCTGGGCAGACCCTTGTGCTCCCCCTTCCCGCCCAGCTGGCCGCTGCCTGGATGGGGTGCAGGCAGAGCCCCCGCCCCCCGCCATGACAGACGAGGGGCCGCAGGGGCTGGGAAGGTCCCCGTGGCCAGGGTGCTGGGTCGCCAGGCTGGGCCGAGCTAGACCAGCTCCGCTCGGGTTCTCAGGTGCCACCCAAGCAGCTCTCCAGCCCGCTGCTCCGCCCGGAACCCCGACGGGCTCTGCAGGACCCCCCCCTTCCAGCCCCGGCCCCGCCCCCAGGACGCCGGCCAGCACCGCAGCAGCAGGACAGTCACTGGCCCCTTACTTCCGGCCCGTCTGCCCGGGCCCCCTCTCCAGCCCTCACCCCCGCCCAGACCCACGCTCTGCAGGCCCCATGCCCACGTCCTGGCAGCGAGGGCGGGAGGGACGGCGGGCCTTCCTGCCCGGGGGAGGGGGAGCAGCAGGAAGCCAGCTTGCAGCACGGGGGCAGCTGAGGAGGCCGACGGTGCTTGGAGCCTGGGAGTGGGGTGCTCTTACCCCTGGGGGGCCCCCTGGGCAGGCACGGAGGAGGGGGGACAGGCCGGAAGCCAGGAGCCCTGGAGGACTCGCTCCACATGCGATGTGGGGGGGGTAGGAAGGCAGCCCCCCCTGCAGGGGCACGGGGCTTCCCCTTCCCCGCCACAGGGGCACGGGGCTCCCCAGTGGGTGGAGATGCACCCCGTGTCCACACCTGCTTCGGTCTTGGCCGCTCCGTCCAGGGCCTGTTCACACACACGCACACACACTCATCCTGTGCACACGCATGCTCACACACACATTGTGAACACGGCACACACTCTACAGTAGTGTATGGCACACTCTCCTACACGCACACTCACACGTGCACGCACTCAGGCCATGTGTGCACTAATGTCGCATGCATGCACACCTCACAGACACGTGCAGCGGCACCGGGCCCCCCTCCTCCAGCACAGACCCAGCCACAGGGCTCCCCCCCAAACCCGGCACACAGCCACCCGGGCCACCCCCTGGGCCCAGGCCACACGCCTGGCGCTGCACAACGAAAGCGAGAGAGGAACAGAGGGACACCGCCCTGGAGGCCGCCAGCGCAGCCGTGGGGCCGCGTGGGGCCTGCACTCGCCCTGCTCCTGTCCCGCGCACTCGGGAGCCATTGCCAGGGGCACCGTGTGGGTGTCTAGGCGGGTGGGGTGGCTCGGGGTGGCCATGAAGCAAGCATCAGGCCTGGGCGGGGCGGGGCGGGGCCTGACGGTCCAGGGGTCTGAGAAGGCGGGTGCTCCCCCGGCCTCCGGTCTCACTGGGGGGTCCCAGGCCCTGGTGCTGCCCCCGCTGAGGGCCAGCCCCCACTCCGGCACCGCCGGTGGGGTCAGGTGCTGGGTGAGCAGGGTCCGAGGGGGACATGCAAGGCTGCGGCGGGTGGGGCCCAGGCAGACCGCCAGCCGCTCCCCCGGAGGGCGGTGCCCCAGGCAGTGGGGGCGCTGGGGGTCCGGCCCCCCCACGCCTAGATGACGGCACTCTTCTCCTCCTGCGCCAGGGGGCGGGCGCCCGGCCGGGCCAGCAGCAGCTCCTTCTCGTGCACCAGGCTGTCCAGCAGGTCCTCCTGGCGGTAGTTGTGGTAGACCTTGACGAAGGCCAGCACGGTGATGGCCAGCCAGGCCAGCCACGAGGCCCAGAGGCCGGACTGCAAGGGCGGAGGCAGCGTCAGGGCGGCCCCACCGCCGGCACCCCGCCCCGGAGAGGCCGGCCGGCTGGGAGGGGACAGGGACAAGCTGGGGGGGAGCCTTTTGCGTCCTTCCTCACGGCCATCGAGCTCTAGCCCCACGCGGGGCGGGCGCTGTGGGAGCCCCCTCACACCTCCCCCACCTGGCGGGCCCCTCGGCGGGCAGGGCCGGCAGCCCATCTCCTCTTGGCAAAGAACCTCCGACATCCAGACCCCCAGTCCCCACCCCGAGAGAGTCCTCAGATCGGCCACTGGCCGCCGCCCTGCTCGGACGGCCTGGGTCCGAAGGGGACCCAGATGCTGGGAGCCCTGCTGGGTGCTAGAAGGAGCCGCCCCACTCGCGCCCTCGTCAGGGTCATCAGTGCCCTCCGCTGGGACAGTGCTATCACTGCCCACCCCCACGTCCCCAGACGCCTGGGCTCCAGCACATGAGGCCCCAGCACCACCATGGCTCAGGTGGGCAGGGCAGGCCTCCCTCTGCCTGGAAGCCCAGTCTATCCAGAAGCCCTGCCCACCTAGAGGCCCCGCCCACCCATCTGGAAGCTCCGCCTACCCGGAAGCTCCATCTACCCAGAAGCCCCACCCACTTGGAAGCCCAGCCCACCTAGAGGCCCCGCCTTCCCATCATTAGCTCCACCCACCTGGAGGCCCTGTGGAGGAGCCCCGCCCACCCGGAAGCCCCGCCCACCTGGGCAATGGCAAACTGGTCATAGAAGGCAGAGTTGTCCACGTTCAGCTCCAGGTCGATGTCCTGGAGTTCCTCGCAGCTGCAATGGCACCACAGAGGGACAGTGACCGCCAGCCCCGAGCCCGAAGGCAGCAGCAACGCCCGCGAGCTGGGGGCGGCCTCAGGGCACCCAGGGCCCTCACTCTCTCTGCAGCAGGACCTGAGGTCCGCCCCGCCTGGCCCTGGATGGTGGGCGACACCGCCAGCCTCCGCGGTGGGAGACCACCCCGGCCCGCTGCCTGCAAACCCGGGGACCAGCAGGGTCAGCCTCAGGCCCCGGAGCCCGAGTGAGCGAGGTGTCAGGACCCCAGGCCGGAGCATGAAGCCAGAGGCCCAGGCTCGCCCTGGGGGCGGGGGCT